CACAAATAATTGAACTAGCCTATTGCACATATATGAGATAAACAACTTGACTTTAAATTGTTCATCCTCAGGATGCGTGGGTAGCTCAGTTGGCTGAGTGCCTACCTCTTGATTTTGGCTCAGGTCATGATTCCAGGGTCGTGGAATCATGCCCCACATTGGGCAACGTGCTGAGCATGGAGCCTGCTTAAGATTCTCTCTCTCTCCAATGAGGTGCCTGGGTGGCTCAGTCGGTTGAGCATCTGACTTTGGCTCAGGTCATGATCTCACAGTTTATGGGTTCAAGCCCCGTATCAGGCTCTGTGCTGACATCTTGCTCACAGCCTGCAGCCTGCTTCAGATTTTGTGTCTCCTTCTCTCTCTTTCTCTCTCTGCCCCTCCCCATTCATGCTCTGTCTGTCTCTCAAAAATAAATAAATGTTAAAAAAATTTTTAAAAAAGATTCTTTCTCTCTCTCCCTCTGCTCCTCTCTGTCTCTCAAAAAAAAAAAAAAAAAAAGTTTATCTTCATGGAGAACTAGAAAACAGTTGTTTTTACAAAGAATGTATAATTTAAAGAAAATAATGTGTTACATTTATTTCTAATATCTATGTCTATAGAGATTATTGTTTTTCAAATTTAGGCAATTCTAAGAATATTAATCTGATTGTTAAACTGAATTAGAATATGAATTAAGAGTTATTATTTTATTATTTATTATTCCATTTATTATTTACCATAGAACCTTGTGTTTTGAAACTACCTCTCCCTAGATTTTTTAAATTGAGTTACTGTTCTCCTTTTCCATTAATCAAAACACCAGCACTAATTTTGCAAAAGGTCCAGAAATGGAAAGCCAGAAATTTGATGTTGGAGTTAGTCTATAAAGTCTTATTAATAAAACATGCATTGGTTTTTTTTCAATATTAAAAAAATAAAAAACTAGTGGATTCCCATGAGTACAGACATGGACCTTAAAACTGGGATCCCATTTGGAGAAACAGTGATTTCATATTTAATAATGTTGTGGTTTCTTCATTCAACTTTGGCTGATTCTAATGCTTTATCTCTTACATTAACTTTGTTTTATGAGGAAACAATTGTTTTAAGGTACAAAAATAATGGGAATAAAAGAAATAGAGAGTTTGCTACTCAGTAAATTCACAATTCATCAGGGTTCACAATTAAAGCATAAGCTTTGCCCAGGCAGGACAGAAATTGCACTAAATTCTTAGAACTATATGGAAAAGAAAAACCTAAAATAATTCCTTATGAACAAAATAATTTGTTCATAAACTATTCCTTATTTTTTATTGTCTCTGACTCCCCAACTCTGGGTAGAGGCTCTTTCTATATGTCTTAGAAACTGTGCTTCCTCTATTACACCCTTTATCAAACTACATTATAATTTTAAGTTTAGCTTATTATAACTTTCTTACTATATTTTAATTTCCTTACAGGGACAGACTGTATTCATTTTGCTCTACATTGTATTTACAGCAAATGAGCACAGATTTTAGCGCAAGCTAAGTTCTCATTTACACATAAAGAGCTGAATGAATAAAGAAATGAAAAGTATTCTAAGAAACTAAGGGAAAATGTTAAATGACAAATAAACATACCTTTAAGAAAGTATTTTTATAAGTCCTCCTCTTTTATATTCAAATCCTTGTCCTCATTACAAACATGAGTAAATATAGAAATTAATTGGAAAACTAAGTTAGGGTGACTGCATATGACAGAAGGAAGAGTTTCTACCATAGTAATTTAAATAAAACCAGCAATAGATTTTGGCATGATTATAGACTTGAGAACAGATGTATGTATTTGAACTCTGGGTTTCTCATATTTTTCTTATTTAATTAATGTAGTTAAATCATCATGCTTGTTTTAGCAAGTATTGCATTAAATGCTTTAAATATTGTTAATATTTTTGAAATAAAACAGTAAAGTTGAAATTTACTTTGTTCATTATTTTGATATACCAACATTTTAAAAGCCAAAATTTCATTAAATTGCAGATATCTAAAGTTGAAATAAATTAAACTTTAAAAATCAAATGTAAAAGAACAGTTGGAAAATTAATATTAGGACAGTAGGGAGCTAGAGTTATACCTCAATAGGTTGAATTTACTAATACCATATACTTTAGAGTAAAATAAGATGTTAGATAATCTTAAAACAAAAATAAAATTGAATGATAAACTTGACTGAATGTGAAGGAATAAAGCATTTTAACTTGATTTTTTGTCTTCCAAAACTCATAAAAGACAGTAGAAAACAAATAAAAGTAACAGAGTAGTCTTCAATGAAACAAAGAAGTATCTATAACCTCTGATCCTAAACTATGAAGGGTATGTGCCAAGTACATGAAATTTGAGCCAAAATGAGAAAAAATATCCAGAATAAACAGTCTTCTCTTTGGATCTTAGGCTAAAACTTTTTTGTAAGTCCAAAATCTTGAAGGTTTACAGTTTCTATTTCTCCACTCTGGCCCACGAATATGCCTTGATGTGAGCATGGGATGGGTTAGAAGAATTTTGTTCACTTAATCACACCTCTCTTCTACCTTTTATAATGTGAGCATCTTGGTCCACTGCATGTAATTATGATTCTAGGATTTAAACATACTCACTTTCCATACTGCGTGACCTCTAAATATAAGCCAATATTTCATCTTGTACTAAAAAAAAAAAAAAAAAAAAAGAAAAGAAATTTCTTCCAATGCTTGAGGAAAATTTGATCTCTTGTATTTATTGGGAAATGATATATTGGGCTTCCAGTGAAACATTCCCAAAAGCTTTTTCCAGGGTAAAATTTCCTATTCCAGATTTTTACCTTATAAAATCACAAATGATGAGATTCTCCTATAAATTGTTTCCTAATCTAATAAAAATTGGGAGAATGCCAAAATACACAAAATTATAGCTTAGAATGGGTAAATTTATTAAGGCAGAGAGATTAGAAGAATTTTGCTCAGTCCTATAAACATTTTAATAAACTTTTTAATGTTTATATGTATATTTTCATAAAAATGAGCAAATCGATCCAGTGCAAATTAAAAAAACCAGTCAGAGAGAGAACTATGGGATGAAACGAGAAATTTTTGACAGTTAAGTATGTAAAAAATACTAGGCAGGCCCAGATGGGTTCACAGACGATCTCTTTCACAATTCCAAGGAATAATCAGAATGTAATTTAAATTCTTTGAGATCAGAGGGAAAAAATAAGGAAGTTTTCCAAAATACTTTGCACAAATCTAGAATAACAGTTCTACCAAAACTTGAGAAAGATCACTCATGTCCACAGCACACCTACAGAGTGACCTCATGTTCAGGTATTGATTAGAAATCTTAAGTAAGCAATTTTAAAATCCATAATACCCCAAATAATTTTATTTATTAATCATAAGAATTTTACTCTAGAAATGCAAGGATGGTTCAGATTAAGGGCATCCATTTATAAACTTACCATTCTAATACATCAAAAGAGAAAAGATATTATTTAAATATATATTATTTTTAAAATGTGATAATTCCCTTTGGATAATTCTTAACACGATTAAAAGAAAAAAAACCTCTTTAACTCAAAACAAAGAAAACATTCTGCTTAATACTGAAAAAACAGATTTCTACTGAAGTGAGAAATAAAGCAGGGATATGCTCTTTGTTGGATTAAAGATTGTTGCATTTTTGTTCTTCTTCACTCCACCATTAAGAGGTAAAGCTTATTTCTTTTTTTTCTGGACCAGCTCTGTGACTGTTTAGTTAATAGAAGACTGTGAGGTGACAGTATGCTAGTTCCACTATAAGGCTTCAAAAAGGTCTGGCAATTTCTGTTTTGTACTTTTTTGGGCTGCGAAGTGCAGTCCTGTGAGAATATGACCAACCTGCTGAAGAGATCACATAAAGAGATTAAGTGGAGAAACTTGGAGGAAAGGCTTTGAGACTGCGTGGAGGCATTATCCCAGCATCCCAGGCAAGACTCCAAATGACTACAGTCTCCACTGTTGCCATCTTAACTGCAATTACAGGAGAGACCCTTGGCAAAACCAGTAGATGAACTGCTGAGTTGATCCATGGCAACTGACAGATATGTAAGATATAGAAGATGGTCTTTGTTTTAAGCCTTTATGATTTGAAGTAGGTTGTTAGACTCTGCTTCTACTGTTTTCAGCAAAAAACAGCTGACAAACAATTGGTACTTAGAAGTTGCTCTTGTAACAAAAAACACATGTTGCATTGGCTTTGGGCCCTGGTCATGAGCAGAAATCAGAAGGGTCTCAAGGAGACTGTTAGTAAAGGCTGGAAAGGACAAAGAAACAATTGTCATTGGAAACTGGGAAAAGGCAAACTGTGATATGAGTTCTGGAAAGTTTGGCATTGGGATCTCCCAATGTAATGTGAAAAATTAGGCATGTATTTTAATATATTACATATAAAATAGCATGACAGTTTTGCAATCATTTGTGAACCTACCCAGAGTAGTGCAAATTTTGAATCACCCAGGACAGACATGGTCCCAACTGAAGTTAGAACACAGCAACATTCTGCCTTTTTGTTTCAGCTCTCGTATTGTAAACAGGTGTCCTTTTTGCCGTCTATTTAGTACCACTATTTCCACATTTTTTTGCTTGCTTGTTGGTGATTTTACCATTTTAAAATGGTCAGAAGCATTATATTCCCACGTTGCCTAGTGTCCTTAGGTGGAAGAAGCGTGCAGTATGCTTTATGGGGAAAATGTATATTAGATAAACTTAGTTCAGACATGAGTTATAGGACTGTTGGCTGCAAGTTCAATGTTAATGCATTATAATGTATAGTAAATTGTACTTAAATAGAAACATACATACATCAAATTTATGGACTGATCTGCTGATGGAAATGTGATCAGAGGCTCATAGGAATCTACCCTGTATTTCCTTTAGAGGCAATGATTCAGTATTTGCTAATTCAGTATTCATGGGCACTTTATTGAACATAAGTACTGCAAATAATGAAAATTGATTTATATGTACATACCTATCTGTGGGCTGGAATAAGGAGATTTCCAGATAGAATGTCAGTAGTGACTAATTCATTTACCTAGGTATAATAAAGAAAAATAGTTTTTAGGCAGACCTTAAAGAAATATTTTAAACCTAGGGTTTGCTTTTTGGAAAATAATACTGTTTCTTATTCCCAGGTTCTCTAGGCACAAAAAGATTCTTGATGTAAGGAATAGTCTCAGGATAAAGATTGAATCCACAATGCTGCAAAACATGTATATATGACTTGAGGATCAAGATATCGAAACTTACAGCTATAAGATTCTCTGTTAAGATGTCAGATGGATTTAAGATGTTGCCTCCTAGACCCTCTTTGCTAGACTACAGGATTCTAAGGTTCTTAAAGGTATCGTTGCATAGTCCTTTGGTTCTCAGTCCAAGGTTAGAGAGGGGCCTGAATTGAAAAGATATGTGGGTGTCACTTTAATCTATTGGAGTAGATTTTAACTGATACACAGGAAACCTGCATAGTTTTTAAGGGAATTTTAATTGTATGCTCTGAAGGGGACAAAAACAAAAGAGGCATTTGGACCAAAAATTTCTTACAAGCAGGAAGCAGACTGTAAAACTAAGCTAGCCAGTTGCTTACATGAGCCACTTCTTTTTCTTTCTTTCTTTCTTTCTTTCTTTCTTTCTTTCTTTCTTTCTTTCTTTCTTTCTTTCTTTCTCTCTCTCTCTCTCTCTCTCTCTCTCTCTCTCTCTCTTGTGATTACTTACTTATTTTGAAAGAGAGAGCACAGAGGAGTGGCAGAGAGAGGGAGAGAATCCCAAGCCGGCTCTGTCCTGTCAGAGGCACAGCCCTGATGTGGGATTCAAACTCATGAACTGTGAGATTATGACCTGGGCCAAAGTCAGATGCTTAACCAACTGAGCCACCAGACACCCTGGGCCATTTCTTGTAAAAATAAAGGAAAACTCTAGAATAAAGCCAAGAGTCCTGATATTAGAACTATTAGTAACAGAGAACCACTCCTACCTAAGGAGTAAGATTAGGTTGTAATCAAGGGATTGGTTACATGCACCTACTTACATTTCAGAATTACTATGGATTAGTGACTACTATGTGCCTTTTGTTTTGCCTAATCTTATGAATGAAAGCATAGGTTTAGGTTACCTTATCTTATCATTGTAGGCTGAGTATGTGCAAGTAAAACTTGTTTCTTAATTCTAAGATTTTTAGTTAAAAAGTATTACTCCTAAGGAAATTGAACCACATTTGGACCTGATTTAGATGATTCCTTGAATTTAAAATTTAGGATGAAATTTGTTTGAGTCCTGGAAGGGTGTTAGGGTACTTTAAATGGAAGAGGAGTATAAATAGTTTGAGGGCCAAACGAAGGCTGTGAGAAATGAAAGATGACAGCATATTCTTCATTTCTCCATTGAGAAGTGAAGTATTTTCATTATCCCTTGAATCTGGGTTGTCTCTGTGACTGCTTAAGCAATAGCAGGTGGCAAGTAATTCTGAGCTAGTTGCAGGTTTAAGACTTAAGCAGATCTTTATTTCTTTCACTTCTGCACTTTTGGGGAGTTCTGAACTTGCATTTAAGAAGCATAATTATAGTGCAGAAGAGAATATGTTGGAAGATCTGAGAATACATGAAAACAAGACAAGCCACGCTGTTAGTGTCCCAATCAGGTTTACAGATGACTCTTACTCCAGCTGGTGTCTGAGGGCTACTGCCTGAGAAACATCAAATAAGACCAGCAGAAGAACTTCCCAGGGAAGTTCAGAAAACCTGAAGAATTGTAAGAGAAAATAAATGGTGTTTTTTTTTTTTAAGTCACTAAAGTGTGGGGTGGTCTGTTACATAGCAACAAATAACTGGAATACTGTCATGTCAGCATTATTACTTAATATTGTTTTAAAAATTCTTGCCAATAAAAATTGTCAACAGAAAGAATACATATTAGAATGGGAAGGGGCATGCACAATTATCATTCTTATTAAATATGGTATAATTTGCGATTGGAAAATTCAAGAGAAATGATAAGTATTTGCTAAACTACTTGTTCTCAAAATTAATATACAAAATTCGTTAGCTTTGTGTTAGCTTTATTTCATTTTTTTTCTCCGAGTTTTTATTTAAATTGGAGATACTTAAAATACAGTGTGATATTAGTTTCAGGTGTAGATTTAGTGATTCATCAGTTACACACAACACCTGGTACTATCACAGCAAGTGCCCTCCTTAATATCCATCACCCACTGAACCCATCTCCCCCTCCCATCTCCCCTCCAGTAACCCTCAGATTGTTCTCTTTGGTTAAGAGTCTGTTTCTTGATTTGCCTTCCTTCCCCCCCCCATGTTCATTTGCTTTGTTTCTTAAATTCCACATATGAGTGAAATCATATGGTATTTCTCTTTCTTTGACTGACTTATTTTACTTAGCATAATACTCTCTAGATCTACGTCATTGCAAATGGCAAGATTTCATTTTTTATGGCTAAGTAATATTCCATTGTGTGTGTGTACCACACCACACTTCTTTTTTTTTTTTTTTTTAGGTTTTATATTTTATTTATTTATTTATTTATTTTTTAAGAAATTTATTGTAGGGGCGCCTGGGTGGCTCAGTTGGTTAAGCCGCCGACTTCGGCTCAGGTCATGATCTCGCAGTCCGTGTGCTCAAGCCCCACGTCGGGCTCTGTGCTGACAGCTCAGAGCCTGGAGCCTGTTTCAGATTCTGTGTCGCCCTCTCTCTGACCCTCCCCCGTTCATGCTCTGTCTCTCTCTGTCTCAAAAAAATAAATAAACGTTAAAAAAAATTAAAAAAAAAAAGAAATTTATTGTCAAATTGTTTTCCATATAACACGCAGTGCTCATCCCAACAGGTGCCCTCCTCAATACCCATCACCCACCCTCCCCTCCCTCCCACCCCCCCCCCCCATCAACCCTCAGATTGTTCTGTTTTTAAGAGTCTTTTATGTTTTGGCTCCCTCCCTCTCTAACCATTTTTTTTTCTTTCCCCTCCCCCATGGCCTTCTGTTAAGTTTCTCAGGATCCACATAAGAGTGAAACCATATGGTATCTGTCTTTCTCTGTATGACTTGTTTCACTTAGCATAACACTCTCCAGTTCCATCCATGTTACTACAAAAGGCCATGTTTCATTCTTTCTCATTGCCACCTGGTATTCGTTGTGTATATAAACCGCAATTTCTTTATCCATTCATCAGTTGATGGACATTTAGGCTTTTTCCATAATTTGGCTATTGTTGAGAGTGCTGCTATAAACATTGGGGTACAAGTGCCCCTATGCATCAGTACTCCTGTATCCCTTGGGTAAATTCCTAGCAGTGCTGCTCCTGGGTCATAGGGTAGGTCTTTTTTTAATTTTCTGAGGAATCTCCACACTGTTTTCCAGAGTGGCTGCACCAATTTGCATTCCCACCAACAGTGCAAGAGGGTTCCCGTTTCTCCACATCCTCGCCAGCATCTATAGTCTCCTGATTTGTTCATTTTGGCCACTCTGACAGGCATGAGGTGGTATCTGAGTGTGGTTTTGATTTGTATTTCCCTGATAAGGAGCGACATTGAACATCTTTTCATGTGCCTGTTGGCCATCCGGATGTCTTCTTTAGAGAAGTGTCTATTCATGTTTTCTGCCCATTTCCTCACTGGATTATTTGTTTTTTGGGTGTGGAGTTTGGTGAGTTCTTTATAGATTTTGGATATTAGCCCTTTGTCCAATATGTCATTTGCAAATATCTTTTCCCATTCCATCGGTTGCCTTTTAGTTTTGTTGATTGTTTCCTTTTCAGTGCAGAAGTTTTTTTATCTTCATGAGGTCCCAATAGTTCATTTTTGCTTTTAATTCCCTTGGCTTTGGAGATGTGTCAAGTAAGAAATTGAGGTCAGAGAGGTCTTTTCCTGCTTTCTCCTCTAGGGTTTTGATGGTTTCCTGTCTCACATTCAGGTCCTTTATCCATTTTGAGTTTACTTTTGTGAATGGTGTAAGAGTGGTCTAGTTTCATTCTTCTGCATGTTGCTGTTCAGTTCTCCCGGCACCATTTGTTAAAGAGATTGTCTTTTTTTCCATTGGATATTCTTTCCTGCTTTGTCTAAGACTAGTTGACCATACTTTTGTGGGTCCAATTCTGGAGTCTCTACTCTATTCCATTGGTCTATGTGTCTGTTTTTGTGCCAATACCATGCTGTCTTGATGATGACAGCTTTGTAGTAGAGGCTAAAGTCTGGGATTGTGATGCCTGCCACTTTGGTCTTCTTCAATATTGCTTTGGCTATTCAGAGTCTTTTGTGGTTCCACACAAATTCTCGCATTGCTTGTTCTAGCTTCGAGAAGAATGCTGGTGCAATTTTGAATGTGTAGATAGCATTGGGTAGTATTGACATTTTAACAATATTTATTCTTCCAATCCATGAGCATGGAATGTTTTTCCATTGCTTTGTGTCTTCTTCAATTTCCTTCATATGCTTTCTATAGTTTCCACCATTCAGATCTTTTACATCTTTGGTTAGGTTTATTCCTAGGTATTTTATGATTCTTGGTGCAATTTTGAATGGAATAAGTTTCTTTATTTGTCCTTCTGTTGATTCATTATTAGTGTATAAGAATGCAACTGATTTCTGTACATTGAATTTTGTATCCTGCGACATTGCTGAATTCATGTGTAAGTTCTAGTAGACTTTTGGTGGAGTCTATCGGGTTTTCCGTGTATAATATCATGTCATCAGCAAAAAGTGAAAGCTTGACTTCATCTTTGCCAATTTTGATGCCTTTGATTTCCTTTTGTTGTCTGATTGCTGATGCTAGAACTTCCAACACTATGTTAAACAACAGCAGTGAGAGTGGACATCCCTGTTGTGTTCCTAATCTCAGGGGGAAAGCTTTCAGTTTCCCCATTCAGGATGATATTAGCTATGGGCTTTTCATAAATGGCTTTTATGATGTTTAAGTATGTTCCTTCTATCCCGACCTTCTTGAGGATTTTTTTAAAGAAAGGATGCTGAATTTGTCAAATGCTTTTTCTGCATCGATTGACAGGATCATATGGTTCTTATCTTTTCTATTATTAATGTGATGTATCACATTGATTTGTCAATATTAAACCAGCCCTACATCTGAGGAATGAATCCCACTTGATCATGGTGAATAATTCTTTTTATATGCTGTTGAATTCGATTTGCTATTATCTTGTTGAGAATTTTTGCATCCACATTCATCAGGGATATTGACCTGTAGTTCTCTTTTTTTGCTGTGTCTCTGTCTGGTTTAGGAATCAAAGTAATGCTGGCTTCATAGAATGAGTCTGGAAGTTTTACTTCCCTTTCTATTTTTTGGAACAGCTTGAGAAGGATAGGTATTATCTCTGCTTTAAATGTCTGGTAGAATTCCCCAGGGAAGCCATCTGGTCCTGGACTCTTATTTGTTGGGAGATTTTTGATAACTGATTCAATTTCTCTCGGGTTATGGGTCTGTTCAAGTTTTCTATTTCTTCCTGTTTGAGTTTTGGAAGTGTATGGGTGCTTAGGAATTTTTCCATTCCTTCCAGGTTGTCCAGTTTATTGGCATATAGTTTTTTATAGTATTTCATGATAATTGTTTGT